ACCCAGGTTCGATTCCCAGCACCCACGTGGTAGCTACAAACCATCCTTAACTCCAGTTCCAGGGGAATCTGAAGCCCTCTTCTGACCTCCAAGGCATTACATGACACGGGTGCACTCACATACATGCAGGCAATACACTCATACACATAAAATAAAAATAAATAAAATATTTTAAAAAAGAAAAGAAATGACCTGAGTTTCATCACCAGAGCCCATGTACAAAAGCCAGGTGTTGGAACCAGGGAGAGGACTCAGTAGGTAAAAACGCTTGCCATGCAAGCCTGATGACCTGAGTTTGATCCTCAGAACCCATGTAAAAAGCAGGATGCAGTAGTGTACATCTGTAATCCCAGCAGTCCTACAGTGAGATCAGAGACAGAGACAGGAAAATTGCCTGGAATCTTGCTGGCCAACTTGCCTGGAGTACAAAGCACATTAGCATCAAAAACAGGAGACCCTGCCTCAATAGGGTGGAAGGTGAGAACCAACTCCTGAGAGTTGTCCTCTGACCTACACATATGCACACACAATAAATATTTTAAAAGCCAGGCGTGGTGGCATGCTCTTGTGCAGGGGAGGTGGAGGAGTCAGGGGAAATGCCTGCTTCCTGGCTAGCTAGCCTAGTCTACCTGACAAGGTCCAGGCTAGTGAGAAACCCTGTCTCAAAAAACAAGATAAATGGCTCCTGAGGGAAAACACCCGAGGTGGTTGTCCTCTGGCCTCCACAAGCATGTGTGCTCACATGTGCATGAGTCCATGTGCACACACACATGCACACCCACCCACACAGTCCAATCTCTAGCCCCATCCAACCCTCTCGGAATGCAAAGGGAACTTCCATCAGACAATCTCAGCCACCAACCAGGTTCAGGTGGGCATCTTGGCATATTGGCATATTTGTCAAAGTGTCCCTGAGAGATGACCTCTTTTTTCACACATTCTTCTGTTGACTAGGTGGGATTCTGGTGGGTGTGGCTTGTGACCAAAAGACCAATCTATTTAGTTTCCATAACAGGGACATCCATCACCCCAAACCCACTGAAAAACTACAGCTAAGGCTTCCACTCACTAATCTGGTCATGGGTCCCAGGTTAACACAAAAGCACAAAACCATCCCTGGGGCCTGGCTTCGTGGTACATGCCTTTACCTTTAATCCCAGCACTCTGGAGGCAGAGGCAGGCAGAACTCTGTGAGATCCAGGCCAGCCTAGTCTACACAGCGAGTTCCAGGGCTACAGGGAGATCATCTTTAAAACAAAAAAAATTCCTGGCGGGCATGGTGGCATACGCCTTTAATCCCAGCACTTGGGAGGCAGAGGCAGGCGGATCTCTGTGAGTTTGAGGCCAGCCTGGTCTACATAGTGAGTTCCAGGTCAGCTGGGGCTACAGGGAGACGACCCCCCCCCCAAAAAAGACCAAAAAATAAAAAAATCCCTGGGTGGGAAAGAATGGGCCACTCAGGACCTACGCCAAGAGACCTAGTGCAGTGGCCCTCTGTCAGAATGGCCCGCTTGGCCGCCCTTCTAAACTCTAGTGCCATCACTGCCAAACACAGCTTCTCTGCAGGGTCATGGCTTGCCCCAGGCTGCCCCTGGCGCGGTACTCCTCCACCCCCACAACCAGTCAGCTGATTGGTGGAGACGCCCACACACACTCCCCGCCCCTGCTAAAGCTCGGTCCCAGGGGTGCAGGTCGCCTGAACTACACATCCCAAACTCAAAACTCTTGCCCTGGGCGTGCTAGGGTTAACTTTGAAGGAAGGGGTGGGGATTCCGACCGGCCGGCGACCTGACTGGGTCAACTTCCCTTAGACCTAAGAGCCCTGGTGTCATAGGGCCACTAGGACACCAGGCTTGTGCAGAGACGTCTTGCTCCGAACTTCAAGTTAGGAGACAGCGTGCAGAAGAGATGCTGGTCAGCTAGAGGGATCTCAGCGTCCCAGGTCCGTGGTGGCTTTTCCCTCCTGGCTCAGGGGATCAGATCCATCCAAATCGGACCCATCCTTGGAGATGAAGCCCGCAGGCTCTGACCCCACGGCCTCCCCGGCGTCCGAGCCCACCTATATGTCTCTTGGCCCTCCGTTTCCCTGGCCCTGCCCGCCCGACGTGCGGCTCTGCGGCCACCTGCGGAAACAGAAGTCCCAGCGCCGACGCTTTTTCGTGCTTCGCGCCGACCCTCCGCGCCTGGAGTGCTACGAGAGCCAGAAGAAGTTTCTGGCCGGCGGCTGCCGCCCTCCGCGACCCCGGCGCAGCGTGAGCCTGGAAGGTGCCTGTACCATCAGCAAGCGCGCGGATGCCCGCCAGCGCCACCTGATCATCGTCTACACCAGCGACAGCAGCCTGGGCGTGGCGGCGGCCAACGAGGCGGAGCAGCAGGCCTGGTACAGCGCCCTGCTCGAAGTGCGCGCTGCAGCCGCCGCCGCTGCGGCAACTGCTGCAGCAGCTTTGGGTAAGGCTTGAGCCCCGGGAGACGAGGAGGGCAAGAGGGGGTCGCCCACTCAGTGTATCCAGAAAGGTTCCCCCGGGTCACCCAAAGCTCACACATTCCACTTACACACGTCTTGGGTTCTTGGGGGAACGGTGACACTACCCCAAAGCCCCCCGTGACCTGACCATTCTCTCTCCAGGTCCCTGCTCCCAAGTGGACCCCGAGTCTTGGATCCTCGCTCCGTTCCAAGACGTCTGGCCGGTGACACTGCGGCCCAAGGGGCTGGGGCGAGTACGAGGCCTGAGCAGCGGTGGCTACCGCCTGTGCTTGGGCTCTGGAACCCTGAGCCTCCTGCGCAAGCCTGGGAGCAAAGGGTCCCGAGACAGCCGGGCATCGCCACCGTCACCCGCCCTGCGCCTGTCCTTGCTCAGCGTGCGTCGCTGCGGCCACGCAGACTCTTTCTTCTTCCTGGAGCTCGGGCGTTCGGCGCCCACCGGTCCCGGGGAGCTGTGGCTGCAGGCGCCTGATCCGGTGGTGGCACAAAGCATTCACGAGACCGTCCTGGCTGCTATGAAGAGACTCGGGAGGAATGCAACCAGTGGCAAGGCTGAGCTGCTGACCCGAGACCCCCCAAAGACAACCTCTACACCCCCTGTCCCCACACCTTATGAAACCCCTGCTTCCGCAGCACAAATAAGAATCAGAGAGCAGAGAGCAGAGCAAGACTACCTCAAGACCCTGGAACGGCTGGGGGCAGCACCCCAGTACCCCAAGGGGTTGGAGCAGGGCAGGGGCTATATCTCCATGGGAGCCAGGGCCGACTATGTGCACATGGGGGGTGGAGAGATGAGTGACTACATGATGATGGCACCCCCAGAACCTCCTCCCATCCCTGCCAGGGTGGCTTCTGTTGAGCCACTGGAGGACCCTGAGGGCACAGAGTACATGCCCATGAACAGATTTTCACCAAGGCCCTTACCCTCCAAGTTCAAGGCCAGGGAGCCTGAACCCGAGTTTGGGGACATCTACTGCAGCATGGGGGACAGCTGGGGACCTATGGAGTCTCAGCCCTGCTCTCCGAAGCTGGCAGACCTAGCTGGGGACTATGATTACATCCCAAACTATGTAGGAATAGGTACTGCCAGGCGGGAGCCTCCAGACAGCTGCCTCAACTACGTGGACCTGGACCTAGTTCCTCCTCTGGAGGTGTGTGGCATGGCCCCCAGGGATGGTCCACATACCTATGCCAGCATCAAGTTCTAGAACCTTCCAGAGTTGTTCAGGTGAGGACACCCAGATACTGGGTAGGGACTCGCCTCCCTGGCTGGGCCTCCTAGCTCTCCCTTCCCTCACTCCACAGCAAGGAGCTCTAAGGCCACCATGTCCCTTGGAGAGCTGCTATGCTGTCCCTTGTTCTGTGTCTGTCCCTCCCAGCTCTGGAACCCAAGAAACGCTCAGAAAGAAGTTCCTCCACGAAGCTGGAACTTTTTGTTTTGTTTGAGATGACCATCTCACTATGTAGCCTAAGTTGGCATGGAACTATGTAGACCAGGCTGGCCTTGAACTCACAGAGATCTACCCACCTCTGCCTCCCAAGTGCTGTGATTAAAGGCATGCACCACCATGCCTGGCTTTGTTGAATTCTTTTAAGAAAGTTCTCGAAGTGGGACATGGTGGTCCATGTCTTTAATCCCAGTACTTGGAGGCAGAGGCAGGCAGATCTCTGGGAGATCAAAGCCAGCTGGGGTTACAGGGAGACCTGTCAACCCCTTCCCCTAAAAAAGAAAGTTCTAGAACCTTTCTAGGCCCACCCCTCCCAAAAAGAACCCAAACAAAACCCCTACAAAGTTCTGGGCCTTTGTTCTCAGGTAAAACCCTGATCTTGTTTCTCTGCAGAGCTCCTAAAGCAGCGGTCTCAAGTCGGCTGTAGTCATGCCATGTATGAAGATACCCATTTGGATAGCACTGTCCCCGTGCAGGTTGGCAGCTGGATGTCTTTGTGTGTCTCCTGAGCCAAAGAGCTCCCCTACCCCACCCTTTCCAGCCAGCACTGAAATCCTGGAGCCTCAGCACAAAAGGGATGGAGGAGCACCAGGGATCATGTCAGTATCCCCCAAAGTAACAGGGTCTCTCCTGAGTCAGCTTTCTCTGATGCCAGCCAGGCTAACCCAGCCCTCCTTTCTCCCAGGCCAGGCAGAGCTAAGTTCCTAGAGCCCAGCCCTGTACCCTGACCCACCCATTAAAGGTGCTGGATTTCCTGACTGTCTTAGTTCAATGGATCCCCAACCCTGAGGCATTGGGGGTGACCAATGAGTAAGGAGACTTGAGGGAGGACAGTGAGTCCAGTAGTAGAGAGAGACCCAACCTGCTTCATGCCCACAGTATCACCTGTCATAGGGAGCCTGTTTTGCAATCCAACTCTGATTTATTGTCAACAAACAGCCTGGGGGAGAGGACAGTGCATTCTGTCTACAAGGGGCTATGGACAGTGGGTATCTGGAGGACTGGGGTCAGTGCCTCCTGAACAGCTCTGGCCACCACGTGGGCCTGGGTGGTCAGAGACAGGGTCTGGGAAGCTGGTGGAGGTTGGAGGGGCTGCCAAGGAACTGGGTCCTGGTGCCCCTTGGCTCATCTGCAGCAGACCGGTGAGAGCGATCATCTCTGCCTCAGTGAGCCAGGTGGAGGAGAAGGCCTGGGATGTAGAGGGGTACACAGAAGAGGACATGACAGGGGGCGGGAGCAGCAGCTTCAGAGAGCCCTTTGTCTGACAAGAGAGGAAGGGAAATGCATCCTCCCAGGCCTGGCATGGGAGGGGGGAAGGAAGGAGGAGGAAGGAGGGAGGATCATTCTCACCTGCTGAGGGGGCTTAGACAGGTACAGGGGAACACGCTGTCCACAGTGCATCAGAGAGTCCAAGAGGAAGACATCTTGGTAGCACATCACAGGGAGCCCTGAGTTGGACAGCCTTCTAGCAGAGCAGCCTTGGGCTCCCACCCCAGCCCACCTTGCAGGTCCCGCAGTAACATCACAGTTGAGCTGGGGGGCCTAGGAGGAATACCTGCATCCCCACGTGCCTGCTCCTCACTGGGCTGCCCTGAGGTGGGGCTCCTGCCCCAGGTGTCATACATGGGCCAGGTAGGATGATACAGTGTCCGTCCAGAGAAGGAAGCCCCTGCCCCACAGCTGGCCCCCTGCAGAGAACAGGAAGTCACATAGAGCAGCATCCTTCTCCCCATACCTCCATCACCCCCCCACCGCCCAACAGGGCCATGGGCCTCCAACTCACCAGCAGCGGAGGTCTTGCGTGGGCCTGGTAGCTGGGGTCCCAGGATGGCGACGGGGGCCTCCTGGAGGGGATGACCTCCCAGGCCATCCTGGGTGGGAGAGGCCCTGAGGGGACAACTGAGGTCAGGACGGCCTTCTCTGGGGAGGCCTCAGGCCCGCGCCCACCTCTGCTTTCCGCCTACCTGCGCTTTCCAGGGCCTGCTCGGTCGCCGGTGGTCTGGGCAGCAGCAGCTGCTTTCGCTGGATCCCAGATGGGCTGAGGACCTGGGGCTGTGGGCTGTGGGGGAACGAGATGCTCCACAGGCCTCCCCTGACACCCCCACCCCGCTGCATCCAGGCTACGGGTGCCCGGTCCCCAGCGCCAACGCGGTGGAAGCCACTCGGGAGAAGGTTCGGATGTCGCGCCGCCCTGCGCCCTCACCTGTCCTGAAGAGGGCTTCTCGGCTCTCCCGCCATGTCCTCTCCCGACTTCCAGGGCTCCCCCTGGTCACTGCCCCCCGAGCCCGCGCCCTGCTGCCCAGGCCAGGGCAACATCGGTGTCCGGACAGGCTTAGGGCAGGGCCGTCTGCGCGCCCGTGGCATGGAACCCGGCCTGGCCTACCTCTGAGGCGTCGCACAACGCCAGCGCTGAGCTGAGCGTATCCCGCCACGTGGCGCGCTCCCGCCAGGCTCTCAGGCTCCCCCTGGCGGCAGAGCCGCGAGTCCCCTTGGCGCCAAGCCCAAGCGCAGCCCACCCCAGGCGCAGCCCACCGCGGCACCCACAGAAGCCAGGGCGCGCACACACCTGGGGCCGGCCTACGGCCTTCTTTATTGTGCTCACACATTCACACAGGGTCTCCACCCCGCCTGCCACCGAAGCAGCCCGAGTACGAGGGCTGCCCAGGCCAGCGCACCCAGGGCACTGCCACCCAGTCCTTGGTAGTGGGCAGAGCCGGGGGTCTTCTGCTTCTGGGCGCCGTCCTGCAGCGGCTGCGCCGAGCCCGACCTCCACCCCTAAGGCCGGTCCAGCAGCGCTTGAAGGACAGCAGCGATGTGGGGGAGTCCCCTTCCGGGGGCCCCCTCCTCTTCCAGGATGTGGTGGGGCAGGCACAGGGACTCCTGGGGGAGGGGCCCAGGTTAAGTTCCCCTGGTGGTCCCAAGCAAGGCTAATGTGAAGGGGCCCGGGCTCCTGGTAGACCCTGCCGGACGCTTGTGGACAAACGACACATGGAAGCTGCCAGAAGTAACAGGAAGGCGGTCACACAGGGCCAAGGCTGGGGCAAAGGGACCTATCATTTCAGAGGGAAAAGCTGGCGCAGGCTGGTTGACACACGGAGCCAGCCAGGACTCGGCATGGCTGCAGCAGCTCACACAAATAACACAGAGGCAACAGTCTGTACAGTTTATACACAGAGCAGGGGACCCACTTTGGGCCCCACAGTCCCTACAAATATAGAGTTCTCTCTACAAAATAGAGATAATTTAGACCCCCCCATAGCAGCCAGTAGGGGGCAGGGAGAAGGAGGGAAAGAGCCAAGCTCCTGCCACCTCTCTGGGGATAGAGGGCCTGGGGAGAGGACATGAAGGCACCATCAGCAATGGCAGGTGAGGGCTCCGGAGGGGGCAAGTGGCAGGACAAGGTCTGTGGGTGCTATAGAGTGGGGCCTTTGAGGTCAGTGTTTGTGAGGGGGACACTAATGTCTTTGGTAGGGGCTGAAGGCACCAGCTGTGGGGACAGGGTTGAGCAGGTCTTATAAATAGAAGTGGGAGGGGAGGGGCAGAGCTGGTCCTAGGAGCCCAGAAGCCAAGTATAGAGGGCATACAACAGCAGCATGGAGATCGAGTAGAAGAGGACGAAGCCACCCAGACCCGAGGGCTGCTCAGGAGGAGGGGCCTTGCCCCCCACCCAGGTCACGGCCTCCAGCGTGGTCCGAAGCCCCTGGGCAGTGCCCCGGAGGAGATCCGAGGGCGAGCACAGGTCGGCCTGGGAATGGAGGGTAGGACAGATGACAAGGACAAAGGACATACGTCAAGAGCAGCAGCCACAGTCCTGCCCACCCCTGCCCTCACATGCCAGGTCCAGAGCCACACCAGCATGCAGACATGCAGGACGGGGAGACGTATGAGAGCAGGACAGGACACCCCTGCGGATGGAACCCCACCCCATGCAGAGAACTCAGCTGAGCCCAGGACACCACCACCCTCTAGAGCAGAGAGCAGTCCCCATACCTCAGGCACCCCCATTTTTCGACAAGCTTCTAAGAAACTCTCCACATTCTTCCGAGACTTAAGGGCACTGAGCTTTGGCTAAAGGCAGGGAGGAAAGGAAAAGTTTGGTAAGGAGAGGCCACAGAGTTCCAGTCCCATCATCACAGCCCCCCCCCACGCCACCCCCACCCCCCGCTCACCACAGCAGGAGAGGGCACGTGAATGAAGGGTACCGAGCGGGGCTGCAGCTGGTTAGCCAGCTGGCAGAGGATGACCCCGTTGGCAAGAGCTTCAGCCAGGTCATCTGGCAGAGGCTGCTGCAGCCGTGACTCAAGGACCTGGGAGCAGAGGAGGGAGAGTGTAGGGTCAAGCAGGGAACTTGCTCTGCCCCTTCCCTCCCTCAGTGGAGGTTCCAGGATTGAGGGAGGCATGGGCCCTGAAGCAGTGGGAGGAGGCACCATGCTATGCCAGGCTCCTGCCCATCTTACCTGGCGCAGATGGGACACTAACTCCTTCTCGTCTGGAATCTGTGGAGATAGCCGAGGTCTCAAGACAGAGTCTGGGGAGGAAGGGCCTAGGGAAAAGAGGAGACGGGCTGGCTTCACTTCACAGATCAACTTTGGAGCTAGCTCCCAGTCTGGTCCTCATACCATCTCCTCCTGCCTGTGGGATTTTCCACAAAGGGCCAACAGCCTGAGAGGCAGAAGCCCCAAGAGACACGAGGTCTCAGGTTAGTGCTGCGTGAGGACACTCACCTGAGCCACTCTGGGAAGAGGAACGGAAGAGGAAGCTGTTTGGTCTCTGAATGGAGCCCAGCGGCCGGGGAGCAGGAGCTGTCGCTGGGAGGAGAGCCAGGGGCAGGTGAGAGATGGGCCCTCAGCATCCCACTCCTCCCTCAGGCCTCTAGATCCCAGCAGCCCCAGCCACCTTCTAAACTCCCCGTCCTACCTGGTCCAGACACAGGAAGGGGCTCCTGGGAGGTGGAGGCAGGTGTAGGAGCTCCCTGTCCCCCTGAAGCTCCCAGTTGGGTGGTAATGAACTTGGGTGGGCCACTGAGGAGACAGAAGGGAGTCAGAAGAGGCCGCAAGAAAGGCGGGAGGGGACAGAGCTCAAAGAGGAAACCTACTTGCAGGCAGCCTGAGTCGACGAGGTGGCAGCACCTGTCCCAGCAGCCCTGATCCCCAGCTTCAGGACACTGGAAGAATAAGGAGAGGAGTCAGCTGGGGCAGGCCAAAGATTGAGAACAGAAGTCTGGGAGGTATTGCATCTACCCACTGTCCAGCAGCAGTCCTGGCCCTGGGCCCTGACCTGTCCTTCTTGGGGGCTCCCCACAGCGCACTCTGCTGCTGCTGCCGTCGCTCCCGCTCCTGCCACAACTGCAAGGTATCTGGGCGCCGCCTCTCCTCCCCTGCCGGCTCCTCCCGCCTAACAGAGGAAGGGACAAGAGAGACAGACCCTTGTCAGGGTAAGGAGAGGTTCCCAGGCTGTACAGGGCAGAGGTGTGGGCTGTGCAGGATACTCGGGGTGGGGATACCTGCTGCTCAGTGCCTTTTCCGCATCCCCTGCTACAAGGTTTAAATCAGGAGGCAGCTGCTCCTGAGAAGAGAACAGCAGAGGCTGAGAAAAGGCCTGGTCCTCCATGTGCACTATCTCCCCACTTCCAGAACCCCTTCACCCAGACAAGGGACGTGGCTGGGTCCTTACCTCAGCAGGACCTCGCTCCTCGTCCTCCCCAGGGACATGGCTGTCGATGAAGTCAATCTGTTCCAGGTCTCCATCACCTGCAAGGCCAGGGCATGTCAGTGAGGAAGCAGGAGGGGACCTTCAGGCCCAAACTCACCCCTCTCCTTCCTGGGTAGATGCCTCTGCTCACCAGAACCATCCTCTCTCCGTTCTCTGGGCCCCCGAGGCTCCCGGGCCAGCTCTGAAATCCGGAATGACAGCTCTGAAAACTCATCTGTGGACTGTAAGGCAAAGAGGCAGGGATGGGAGATAGGCTCTCTGCAAGGCTGGGCCCACAGAGACTCAGGGCCTGCAGGGTCTGCGGCTAGTGTCTGGTGGAGAGCCAGCCTCTCAGGAGTAGTGGGGAGGAGCCCAGGCACAACCTGTTACTGAGATGCAGAGGTAGAAGGCCCAGGGTCCCTAGTATCAGTTCCCACTCAGTGACAACATCCACAGCATCCCCAATACCTCAGTTCCCTCCCAGTGACAACATCCCCAAATGTTCTTAGAAAGGAGGGTCTTACCTCATTTCCAGACCACCGCTTGCTACCACTGTCAACACTGTGGAAGCCTGAGTCCAGACCACCATTGTATCGACGTCCTGGAAATAAATCTTCAGCGGGGCTGAAACAACCAAGGAGACCAGGTCAGCCCCAGGCTGGTAGCACCCAACTCGCCCACTGGAATCCAGGGGGGTCTTGGTCATCAGAAGGGATTGCACCTTACCAGGGGCTAAAACTTGGGGGGCGGGAAGGGGCCAGGTCCCCCAGGGCAGGTCCACGTCGCCCAGCCTCAGTTGATAAGTACTTGAAGATGTGAAGTTTCCCTTTCAGGCAGATCTGTGTGAGAGGCACACGCAGGAGAATGAGGCAGCTCTCTAGACCCTGCCACAGGGCCCCCATGCTCCTGCCTAACTGCATTCTCCTACCCAAGGTCCACGGGACCCACACCTCACCTGGGCAGGTGGGCTCTGCAGGGGGTTGCTGTCCAGCAGAATGACCTGCAGGTGCCTGAGGCGGCAGAAGGAGACCGGGATGCGGGAGACACGGTTACAGGAGAAATCCAGGCGGACCAGAGGAAGGTCCCCCAATTCTGGGGGTGGGTGAGGGGAGAGTCAGGAGAAGCCCAGGCCTGGGGCCTTGAGCTCCCTTCCTCTTCCTCAGCTCTCGCAGTCAGTCACCCCTGGCTCTATTACAGGCCCGGACTCTGGCTGGCTTAACTCATTTCTCAGGCACACCCTCCTGCTCCTTCTGCTCATTTCTGACCCCTCTCTGGACTTCAGCTCCTGCCCAACCCTGCACATCCCTCCTCCCCTGTCCCTCCACATTGCAACCTATCTATCCTTCATTCTCTAGCAAGAGCAAAGACACAAACCAATCGTGACACTCCCATGCCACATAGCCAGGGATGCTGAGGTTAGGTAGTCCTATGCCTGCCCAAGTTCAATGCGAGCCTCAGCTACATAGTGAATTCAAGGCCAGCTTGGGCTACATGAGACCAGCTCAAAAAGCTACAATAAATAAATAAGTCTATTTTCTAGTCTTATGTCTTTTGAGCTTTCCTTCCTTTATGACTCACTCTCTCAGACACCTCAGGTTCTCAGAATTCAGACTCCCTGTACCTGTGGGGCTCTGTGCTTTGCTCTCTCATGGCCCAGGGGAAGCTCCCCTTATTTGTACCCTTACTGTTATGGTTTGAACCTCCCTGAATTTCAAGTGTTAGAAATTCAATCACCAAATCCACATATTTGGAGTTGAGATCTGTAGGAGGTAGCTGGGTCATGGGCTCTACCCCATGAATGAGCTGATCCACAGCTGGATTAAGGGATTAAAGGGCCACTTGGAGAGTGGCTTTGTCCTAAAGAAAGCCTTCTCTCTGCACTCCAGCTCTGTTGCCATGTGAATCCCTGAGTATTCTTATATAGCAGGAGGCCCTCACCAGCCCCCCTCCCCCAAGATGTTTGGGACTTCCCCACATCAGACCCATGAGCTAAAGAAACTTCCTTTTTTTTTTTTTTTGAGACGGGGTCTCCCTGTACCCCAGCTGGCCTGGAACTTGCTATGTAGACCAGGCTAGCCTTGAACTCACAGAGATCCGCCTGCCTCTGTCTCTGGAGTGCTGGGACTAAAGGTATGCACCACCATGCCCAGCAAGCCAAAGAAACTTACTTTTCCTTCCTCCTTCCCTCCCTCCCTCTTTCTTTCTTTTTGAGACAGGGTCTCCATGTAGCCCCAGCTGACCTGGAACTCACTATGTAGACCAGGCTGACCTCCAACTCACAGAGATCTACCTGCCTCTGCCTCCCAAGTGTTGGGATTAAAGGTGAGTGCCACCAAGCCCAGCTGAGAAACTTCTAATCTTTAAAAATTACTTCAGGGCTAGTAAGATGGGTAAAGGGGCTTGCTGCTAAGCCTGACAACCTGAGTACAATCCTTAGGACCCAAATGGTGGAAGGAGAGAATCAGCTCCCAAAAGATAGCTCTGACTTCCACAAGTACATGGTATATGCACACAGACATGGGCATGGTCATACACATACTCAAATAAATAAATAAATGTAAGCTTCAAGCCTTAAGTGCTAGCTCACATCTATAATGTCAGTTGACATGGGAGGAGCACCAAGAGTTCAAGGCCAGCCTGGGATACAAAGTGAAACCCTGTCTCAAAAACACACAAAGGGGTTAGAGAAATTGCTCAGTGGTTAAGAGCACTTGCTGTTCTTCCAGAGGACCAGGGTTCAGTTCCCAGCACCCACATGGCAGCTAACAACCATCCTTAACTTCAGTTCCAAAGGATGCAATGCCCTCTTCTGGCTTCTACACACATGGTGTGCTTATATACATGCAGACAATAAAATAAAATAAACAGAAAAAGCAGTGCTGGGTATATAGCTCAGTTGGTAGCACGCAAACATAGAATGCATGAAGCTCTAAGTTTGGTCCCCAGCACTGCACAAATTAGGCATGGGGGCACACAACTGGAATCACAGCACTCAGGAGGATCAGGAATTCAAGGCCATCCTTGGATGTACAGTGAGCTGGAAGCCAGCCTGGGCTACATGAGACCCTCTCTCAAAACACCAAAATTCTTTGGTTTCAGGTATTTTGTAACAGTAACAGAAAATTAAGACATCTAGATGACTTAGAAGGAAGAAGTGCAGAAGGTGTGGAAGGAGGCAGAGAAAATGGATGACCACTGCTCTTGTCCTTCAAAACCAAGTTCACAGGGATGGAGAAATGGCTCAGCATTAAGAGAACTGGCTGCTCTTCCAGAGGACCTGGGTTTGGTTCCCAGAACCCACCATATGGTGGCTAACAACTGTCCATAACTCCAGTTCCAAAGAATCCGACACCCTCTTCTGACCTCCACAGGCACTGCATGACATGGGCGCACTTACATACATATAGGCAAAACACTCATACACATAAAATAAAAATAAAATAAAAAGAGCACCTTCTGCTCTTGCAGAAGACTGGAATTCAGTTCCCAGTACCTACATGGGGTACTTCAAAACCTCTGTAATTCCAGTTCCAGGGTATCCAACCCCTTCTTCTGCCCTCTGCAGGTACTGTACTCAAACGGTGTACATATATACACACCGACACACATATACACACACATATAAAGTAAACCAAGTTCACACCCTAAGTCATGGCACAGGCCTTTTCTGCCCCACTCTGGCTTGTCTTTCTAATTGCATCTACACTGGACCACACTCCCTTCTGCCTCCATGCTTTGCACATGATTCTTGCCTGGGGAAGGATACAGAAGTCTCCTTCCAAGGTCAGCTGGGGTTGTACCTGAGCTTCTGGGTGAAGTCTTTGCCCAGGTTCCCCAAAGGGAGCTCTGCCTCCCCTCACTCCCTGGGTTCTTAAGCATCCTGTGTTAGCAGTTCTCTATGAATAGCTGTCTCTCCCTGCTAAGCCAGTTGACCCCTTGAGAGTTGGCCTGAGACCTTGGTCACATCTATCTGGCCCCTAGCTGAAACACAGGAAGCACACACACCAGAACAATGCTGGCTGAACACAAGAAGGTGTGCTTGCTTCCTAGCAGAGGCTATCAAATGTTGGCGTGTCACAATTAGCTCATTAAAACTGCTGCATGGGATCCAGTATGAGGTCTCTACCCAACTTGGAGCCTCACCTCAACAGTGTTTGAGAGCTCTTGAGGGGGTGGGCTGGGGATGCTGGGTGACCTTAACGGTCCCTTCCAACCTTGGGATTCTATAGACTTGCCTCCTCCTCTCTTTCCGAGTCTATTCCCATATTCATAAAACAGAACTAGGAATCCATGCCTTGCCAGCCTCAGTGGGTTGCCATGGTCAAGAGCAAATAAAATAATTTGCTGTTTGCTTTAAATACTGTGAAATCCTGAGCAACTAAAGCAGGATTCTTCTTGAAAAATTTCCTGCCTGTGACCTCTCTGAAATGGAAGCATTATTTTAGACTAAATGCTTGTATACCTCCCCAATTCCCATGTTGAAATCATAACCTTCCAAGTGATGGTGCTAAGAAGTGGAGCCTGTGGGTGGTAATGAAGGTCATGAGGGTGGAGCCCAGAAGAAGGGCATTAGTGTCCTTATAAAAGACAGCTCAGAGAGACCCCAGAGAGCACTCTCTGCTAGAAGTTGACACAATGAGGTGACAGTCTGCAATCCAGAGATAGTCCTCACCAGACCTGACCACACTGGCACCCTGATCTCCATGGACAGTGTCTATAACTGTGAGAAATAAGTTTCTGTTGTTTATAAGCCACCCAGTCTATGGTACCTTTGTTACAGCAGCCTGAGCTGACGACTCTCTCCCACACACACACACACACACACACACACACACACACACACGCACACACACACACTCCACCATCCTCTCCACCTCTTCATTTTCCTTACCATCAGGAAGGGTGCTGAGCTGATTCCTCCGAACATTAAGGTCCCGCAGGGAACGGAGGTTACACAGCTCCACAGGGAGGGACTGCAGCTCATTGCTGCTCACATCCTAGGATCAGAGAAGGAGCCCTAAGACCAGGACCGTCACAAACCACCCTGTCATCTGTCTCTGGCTACCTGCTTTTAGTCCATGCCTTTCCTCAGCTCCGCCCCCCACCCCCAAGTCCCTGGTCCTCGTCTCCTCTCCTCACAAGCTGCCGCAGGCTTCCCAAGGTGCTGATGTCAGGAGGCAGGGCTCCCAGCTTGTTGTTGCTGACAATGAGCACTCGCAGGGGCAGCTGGCAGATGTAGGGTGGCAACGACGACAGTTGGTTCCGGCTGTGGAGGGGACAAAGGCAGTGGGCTCACTCCCCAGCCAAGGTATCCCATCACTGACTGCCCTGCTCTCGGGGACCCAGAGGAGCACTCAGGGCACTAAGCACTAGTCTTTGAGGCCCACAGGACAAACTCCTGCTACCTGAGGTTGAGGTAGGTGAGGGCTGTGAGATTCCCCAAGGCTGGGTTCAGGCATCTCAGGCAGTTGTGGTAGAGGCTCAGGCCTTCCAGGGATACAAGTTGGCACGCTGCCTCGGGCACCTCGGGAAACCGGTTCCGGGACAGGTCTAGGGGAAGCAAGTGTTGGGAGAGCTATGGAAAGACCCAGCTCTGGACAGGGGGATTCTGAGTGCCCCACTGAGCCAGGTACCCAGTTCCCTACTCCCCTGCTGACTTAAAGAATCAAGCCCAGGGGGCTGGAGAGATGGCTCAGCGGTTAAGAGCACTGACTGCTCTTACAAAGGACCCGGGTTCGATTCCCAGCACCTACATGACAGCTAAAACCACCCTTAACTCCAGTTCCAGGGGAATCCGACACCCTCTTCTGACCTCCGTGGCATTGCATGACACGGGTGCACTCACATACATGTAGACAATACACTCATACACATTAAAAAAAAAAAAAAAATCAAGCCCAAGGGGCTGGGCAGATAGCTAGTGGGTAAAGGGCCTGCCCCATATGCCTGAGGACCTGAGTTTGAATCTCTGTAAAAAAAAAAAAAAAAAAAAAAGCAATGTGGTGGTACATGCTTGTAATCCCACCACCAGGGAGGAGGGGATAGATGGGTGGATCCTTGGTACTCCCTGGCCAGGTGGCCAGCCAGCCCAGGTAGCCCAGCTGAATCAGTGAGCTCCTAGTTAATGGAGACCCTGTCTCAAATAAATTAAGGTAGATGGCACCTAAGGAACAAGGAGCCCACACTTGGGAGGGTATGGACAGACCAGAAACAACCATCTTTCAATTCCTAAATGAAGCCACACATGGTGACGCATGCCTATATCCCAGCAATCAGGAATCTGAGACAGGAGGATTGAGAGTTCAGGGGTACACAGCCAAACTAGACTCTGTCTCAAAAAAAGGAAAAATGAAGAGTTCTTGTGGCAGTGTGACGGGGTTTTGTAACTTTGTGATTCCTGTGTTCTGAGATGCCAAGAGAGGTAAAAGGGAAAAGATCACAGAAGGGGGCTGTGCTCATAAGAAAGCAGTCTGAGGGATGGCAAGATGGTGCAGTAGGTAAGAGCACTTGCTACGTAACCATAAGGACCTGAACTTAGATCCCAGCTGCCACGTAAAAAGCTGGGCATGGCCATGTGCACCTGTAACCCCAGTGCTGTGGGAGGTGGAAAGGACAGCCCAGGCTTGCTGGCCACCAGCCTAGCTCCAAGTTCAGTAAGAGACCCTGTCTCAAGGGAATAAGAGGAATCGTGATAGAGCACCACACCCAGCATCCTCCTCTGGCTTCCATGTGCACATACACAGACACATGTTAAGAAAAGAAGAAATGGGGCTGAAGAGATGGCTCAGCAAGAGCATTGGCTGCTCTTGCAGAGGACCAGGGTTTGATTCCCAGCACTCACATGGTGGCTAACAATTCATTGTTCCTAACTCCAGTTCCAGGGGAATCTGATGCCCTCTTCTGACCTTTGTGGGCATTGTATGACATGGGTGCACTTAAAAACATGCAGGCAATGCACTCACACATGTAAAATAAAAATAATTTTTAAAAGAAAGAAAAGAAAGCAAACAGTCTGGCTGTGGTCAGCATGTGACTCAATGGGTCTAGCAATACAGAAGGCCCCAGGTCTGATCCCCAGCACAAGAAAGAGAACAGTAAGGTGATAGGCAGGGACGGGAAAGAGGCTAATCCCGAGACATCTGGGGGACCACAGAGAGAGCCCTTCCTCCCAGCTTCAATCTGTTTCTAGCACAGAGAAGAAATCAAGGACATGATACACTCTGGCTCTAGGGATTAAGGCCCCTGACACTCCTCCAGTTTTTCACCAGTCCCCAGAACCAAATGACTACAAAGTTCAGCTTCAGAAGGACTGAAAGGGAAAGGCTGAAGGCTGAGCTGGAGCTAGAGACCGAGTCCTCAGAGTCCCCAAGGTCCTTCTATCAGGGCTCCCCTGCCCTGGGGCTAACTGCCCTCTTCCAACCTCAGCAGCCTTCCTCTACCTCTCCCAGCTGGGCCTCAAGGCTTCAGTGCCTTTGCATTGATCTTGAGCAGAGCAGGAGTAGAGGTGAGGAGAGAGGCCTTTACCTCCTTAACTCAAGCAGTGGCTCACCACAGCAGTGCCAGGAGACCAGCCTGGGGTTCCATCCAGTGTGGACACACAGACCTGAGACCGCTAGATGGCTGCATTTGTTTGCTGTGCTCAGCATGCAGTGGGAGGGCCCAGGCCTGTTAGGGGAAGTCCCAGTCAACAGACTTGGTGAGCTTCTTAGAGGGCCCTCCTTCAGAGGGGGGTGAAGCTAATAGGAGGGGAAGGTGGGGTATATCCCCCAAGGAAATGCATCTTGTGACAGGAAATGAAGTAGAAACAATCCATTGGGCTGTGGCTGTAGGCTCCATGTTTCCCAGGGGATGTAAGCCTGATGCCCTAGAAATTGCTTGCTCTTCTCTGCCCAGGCGCTGATGAACATACAAACCTCGCATGGAAGAAGACAGTTCTGGAGAGAGTGGGAGGCCTCAATCTGGTCCTCCCACCTGTGCCCAACACCTGTCTGTGTCCTCTGTGCCCACAAATGCATATGTAGATGTGTGCATGTGGACAAAGGGAGTAGAGACTACGTTGGGATGGGGTAAGGGGTAGTAGGGCAAAAGCCAGGAGCGGAAGGGAGCCCAGGCTGGAGGAGGCAGGGCACAGGGGCACAGGATGTGGTCTGTGGGAGAATGAGCTACACTTCTCCTTTGCTAGAGGCTGCCCTCCCCAACCTAGGACTCTACCAGTAGGCCCAGGAAACACAGTCCAAGGGGTGTCAGGGGTCTGTGCAGAGGAAACATATAGGGGAGACACGTGGAAAGCAGTAGGGGGCTCAGAATGATCAGCAAGCACAGCTCTGAAGCATTTAGGCTGGGTTGGAGGGCAAGGAGAGGTGCAGAGCAGGGCACCTGGCAACTCTGGGTCCCTGTCACTTCCCTTTTTCCACTCGAAGCTAGGAGCACCCAGCTAGAGGAGAATGGACAGAGGGGTGAGATCTGGACATGATGGAACCCACCTGCTAGAACCTGGGCTCCAAAGGGACTGAGGAAGGCAGAGAGGGGCCTTCAGGAAGCTGGGATTTTCCCACTTCACCATACAATTGAACCCTCACCCGTGGGAGCCCAGGCTGCACCCTGAGTTGGAATTTCGGGGGGAGGAGGCTGGGTGGGGTAGGAGCTGGGAAGGGCTAGGAACTCTTGATAGTTTTCCCCTAGAGTCCACTCACTGAGACAGAGCCCTGAGGAAGTAAAGAAAAACATTTGGTCTTTGTCAAAAAACAAGCAAGGGGGGAGGGGAATGGGAACAGACGGCCAGTGTCACACAGCTGCTAAGGTCAATCTGGAGCTTGGGGGTTGGGGGGACCTGGCTTGTGGTGTTCACCCATTCCCAGAATGCAATCAACTGCATGGGGGGGGAGCTGAAAATTTAAACTTTTTCTCCCCAGAGCTGTGAGCAGTGTGCCCCAACCCACGGGTGAGGCTGCAGGTAGACAGGCACCTGCTGGAGCAATGTTCTCTTTGATCCAGCCCCACATCCCTCACCCTGATGATGAGAGGAGCAGGAGGAGGGCCCCTTACACTCCAGCTCAGGCTGGGGTGGGGCTCCCGGAATGCAGTCCTCATAGATCCCCACCTCAGCTGCCAGCCCAAGTTCATGGGCTGTCTCCCTAGCAGCTGAAGCCTGACTCACCTGTCATAGTACAGTGCCCTGTGCCCCACCATCCACAAACACCAGGGTGGAGGGGACATGATTAGAGGGATCCTCAACAAATACCAGGGTGGAGGGGCTGTGATTAGAGGGATCCTGAGGGTGGGACTGGAAGAACAGTCTCCAGGGGGCCAGCACTCCTAGCTAAGAAATACAATTCCTTCCTTTTAGCAACTGCCCTAAGTCCCTCCCCTAAGGGAAAAGCAGAACCAGAAATGGGAATTCGAGGGTTCCTATGAGATCACAAGCTTTATAGTGACCTCACAGACCCCACAATGACCTCACAGAAGGAAGATAAGGGGGACCAGGGATAATGGGTGGGAAAAAAAATCTCAGGGCGGGGGCTGTGGGGTGTAGATTCGCTTCTTTCCCATAGGCGGGCTGGGTGGAAAAGGAGAGGGCCGGGGACCTTGGGAGGCGGGACTTCGGTAAAGTAAGCAGAAACGTCCCGTTGTTAGGTACGATCTATGGCAAATGAATGCCTGGGGTTGCTGGGGTCAGGGCTGGAGGGGTGTGGAAGTTTATGGTAAGGACTAGAATGAAAAGGAGTGATTATGGATAGAGGTGGGGACTTGCTTTATAGACAGATCAGAACAGGGGTTGAAAAAAATCATGCAAATAAACCGAACAGGTGAGGGGCGGGCCCACTCTACAGGTGCGCAATATGCAAATAAAGGGAAGAGTCTCTGAGTGTGAAGTGCTGAGCGTTCTGCGGAAGCAGAAAGCGAGCTCATTGTCCAGAGGTTCTTACAAAGGGGAGCGGAGTGGTCGCAGGCTCAATGCAATCCCGAGTGGGGCGTACGCGGACCGCCAGGTGAAAGGGGCGTGTCCGTCAAGGGCGAGGGGCGGGGATATGCAAACGAGGGTCGCGGTCCAGTTTTCCCCGGGCGCCGACGCAACTCACCAGCCTGGGTGATGTCTGACAGGTCGTAGCTGCGGGCCGCGCCCCGGGGGAAATGCTTCAAGCGTCGGTTGGACAAGTTCAGGGTCCCGGTCGCCACGGCCTCCTCTAGAGCTCGTTCTGCGCTGCGGCTCCCGGGGAGACCCGGAGATCCTGGCACGGAGACTGGAGCTGCTACTTCCTCACCCCCGGCGGCGAGTGGAACCGTTACAGCCGCCGCCATCCGCTCCCGGCGGCTCCCGCGGCCTGACTGACGGCACCGGCCGGCCCTTCTTTCCCCTCCCCCTCCTCGCAGCCGCCGTAGTCGTTTCGGGGGTGGGGGAGGGAGGAAGCGAGAGTCAGGAACCCCGAGGACCAATCAGGAACCAGGGACGTGTCGGATGTGACCAATCAGAACCAGCTGTGGGGGTGGAGCCTCGCCGGCCCGCCCCGCCAGCCCCATCCAATCATAATGCTTAAGGGCTGGACACGAACCCAATGGGGTCCAAACAGGAGGCGGGGACGCCGGCGCTCAACTAGAGACCAATCGCAACCTAGTTCCAGGCGAGTGACTGCCAAGAAGACTAATTAGCGCCTCCTTAGGGGGCCTGTCCCCGGCTTCTTCTCTGAGGGACGGCTCTGTCTACCAATAGCCTGGACGAAGAGGCGGTCCCTTCGCTAAGGAGGAGGTGAGTCATCTAGAACTTTAGAGACTGTGGCGAAGACAGTGAGCGCCGCGCTCTGGGCGGGCTGGGAAAGTAGAGCTGACCGCTGGGGGCAGAGTGGACGACTTAGGGAGCTAGCTAGCTTCTTGGGCGTGACAAAGGCCCCGCGGGGCCAGAGGCCAAGCCGAGAGGACCATTTCCTGCTGCGCAGCCTGAGTCCCGCGCGGAACACCTGGGCTGACGGGAGGGCGGCTTCCCACTCGCGCAAGGAGTCTTCCGACCTGCCATTCCCACCAGACACCCCGTTCCCCCACTACAAGAGTTGTGGTGGCCAGACCAAAGTTTACAAGCTACAAAGAATCTCAGGGTCCTTTTAGAACAAGATGAGGAAACTGAGGCAGAGCGGTTGAGAAAGATCCTGTGAACCTACAATAAGCTGAATCTCATCCCTCCCCGCGGGACCGTTTCCCCCCAGTTTCTCCACTTTTATAATGGATTTTATTGGAAATCTCATTTGAAGCAGAATGTGGTGGTGCACGCCTGTAATTCCAGCACTTGGGAGGTGGAGGCAAGGAGGATCAGAATTTAAGATCATCCTCAACTATATAGGAAGTTTGAGGCCAGCCTGGCCTACATGAGATCCTGATCTCATTTTGCTACTTGGGATGGAATGTTGTAGAGAAAGAGGTCCCAAATGCAAGAAATAATACTTTTCCAATTTTTATTTATTTTGGTTTTATGAAACAGGATTTCATGTACCCTGCTGGCTTCCAACTGGTTATTATATAGCTAAGGGTGACTGAATTCCCAATCCTCTTAGCTCCATTTTCCAAGTACTGAAGTTAGAGGTGTGCACCACCATTCAGGGCACACTTAAAAGATCTCAACATCCAGCTGGGCGTGGTGGCGCATGCCTTTAATCCCAGCACTCGGGAGGCAGGGGCAAGCAGATCTCTTGAGTTCAAGGACAGCTGGGGCTACAGGGAGACCCTGTCTCAAAAAGACCAAATAAATATCTCAACATCCTTTGTAGTGACTGAAGACCCTGAGTCCACTTCCTATACTGATAGTGACTGGACCACTAGTAACTGAAATTGCTCTCATAAATCACATCTGACATGTTGATCTGCCTAAATATTTGTTAAATTATTAAAATTTGTGGCTGGAGGGGCTGGAGAGAGAGCCAGTTAAGAGCACTGACTGTTCTAGCAGAGGACCCAAGTTCAATTCCCAGATTCCCAGCACCCAAATGGAGGGTAACAATTGTCAGTAACTCCAATTCCAGGGGACCTGACATCCTCTTCTGACCTCCTCAGGCATTGCAGGACACGGATGCACTTACATGCAGGCAATACACTCATACACATGTAATAAAATATTTTTTTAAAAATTGTGGCTGGAGAGATGGCTCAGCAGTTAAGAGCATTGGCTGCTCTTGCAGAGGACCAGGGTTCAATTCCCTGCACATGGCAGCTGTAAAATAAAAATAAAATTTTTGAGCCAGCAATATGGCTCGGTGGGTAAAGGTGTTTGCCAACAAGCCTTATGAGTTCAGTTCCTGAGACTCACGTGTTAGGAGAGAATGGATCCCCCCCAAATTGACCACCACCTATGTACATGCATACCCAACCCACACAGCCTCACACAATGAATGTAATAACTTTTTTTTTTTTTTTTTTGGAGACAGGGTCTCCCTGTAGCCCTAGCCAGCTGGCCTTGAACTCACAGAGATCCACCTGCCTCTGCCTCCTGAGTGCTGGGATCAAAGGCATGCACTACCACACCCAGCATGAATGTAGTAACTTATATTAGTTGAGTGAGACCAGCCTAGTCTACATATTGAGTTCCAGACCAGCTGGGGCTATAGAGAGACTCTGTCTCAAAAAATTATTAATTATTAATAATAGCTATTAGTTGAAATTCTTTCTTAGATTCTCAAAGTAGCTGTTTGCTAGTTAACAAGGCTCCCCACCCCCCCCGCCCCCCCCCATTCCTGAGATGAAACCCTGGGCCATGCACATGCTATGTAGATCCCCTAATACTGTAGATAAGGGAGTTGGAGTGGACGATGAACAGTAAGTTGGCTACGGCAGTCCATGGATCTGTAATCCCAGGCATTTGTGCACTGATTATCTAACAGGACTGAATTCTTTGAGCCCTGGGAAAGTCATATTCTGTATATTTCTTGCCGTCGACCGACCTGCTCCTATCTGTCAGATGCAATCTCATTTGTGGTTTCTCCTGACAAATTTCACTCCACAGAAAAAGCTGTGTCTATGCACCAGAAGATGCCCTAAACTTCCAGAATAAATTCATCATTTTCCCTCACCTTAATAGCGTGTCTTTCATGTGTGCAACAATACTGCTAGTCCATAGGAAAGTAGCACCTTAGACCTGTTTTCAATGAGACTAAAGAATTTGTGCTCAGTTTTGTACATGCTTTTGTGACTAGGTTAGATCAGGGCCTCCTTCCCCCCTCATCTGTCAAGTCTTACCTTTTTTTTTTTTTTTGAGACAGTATCTAATGTAGCCCAGGATGGCCTCAATGTGTAGCTGAGGATGACCTTGAACTCCTGATCCTCCTACTTCCACATTCTAAGTACTGGGATTATAGGTGTACACCACCTCACCATGTTTTATGAGGTGTTGGGGCTCAAACCCAGGGCTTCATGCATGCTAGGCAAGCAATCTACCAATGGAGCTACATCCCAACCATATTTTTTTTTCTTTTTTATGACTTTATATTCTTGAACTACAAATCCCCAGAGGCCTCGGTGTACTCACGAGTCACCAGTGTTTCTCTATGGAGTTAATGCTTAAAGTCAGAAAAATCTGTTACTATCACTTCCTCAAAGTCAAGAACTCGCCATCTATCAATTGAACGTTCACTCTTTATTTCTCTAGTAAAGCGTGTATCCCACGAGCCATCTGGTGGCTAGAGCTGAGCTAGAACTCAGAATCCAGCTCTGGGGTCAGGTTATGGAGACTAGGTCACAGTTGCTAGACAGTGAGGTCACAAAAAGGTTTGCCCCAGATTCCATGGGGGTGGGGCCTAGATGATAGAGGGCCCCCAGACTTTCCCCCAAGCCCAGACAGAGGACATGGTGTGGGAAAGGCAGGGGGAACAAGGGCCTGGGGCCTGGGGAGCAAAAGGGCCTGGCAAGATGAGGGCAGGAGCAGGGGGCCGACAGTCAGGATGGTGAGGAGAAGCCGGAGACAGAAGCTGCAAAAACTGACCAGGCAGTGCAAACAGGAGGACGGGCTCAGGGTGAGGGGGGGGGGGCGTGGCAGGGCCGGGGAAGGGCAGGGTAGTGATGGCAGCAAGAGATCTATGGATGGATGATGTGAAGGGCCGAGGAACAAGGCAGACGAGAGGGATGGTGGCCAGAGGTCCTGAAGAGAGTTGGGAGGACTCACCTGGATGAGCCCTAAGACAGGAGTTCACATAGGACAAGTGGACAGCAGGGAGGGAAAACAGGTGTGACCCACCCCCCAGAACTATCAGTGCTCCCCTTTCTCCTCTGGCAGGTGAAAAGGAGCTGCCCTTCTTGTGGCCTGGAGACAGGGAGTGACAAGAAGGAGAGGGGGAACCCTATTTCTGTTCAGTTGTTCCCTCCAGAGTTGGTGAGTCTTTGGAGTGGTGGGAGAGTATTATAGCCGGGCGAGGTGGTGCACTCCTTTAGTCCTAGCACTTGGGAGGCAGAGGCAGGCAGATCTTTGTGAGTTTGAGGCCAGCTTGGTCTACATAGTGAGTTCCAGATCAGCTGGGGCTACAGGGAGACCCTGTCTCAAAAAGACAAAAAAAAAAAAAATGATCTGGGGGGGCCAGACCACTTGAGGGGCTACCTGTGCTCCCATACTCCTTCTCTCCTATTTTTACCTAGGTGGAACACATTGTATCATTCCTCCCAGTGAGAGATGTTGTTGCCCTAAGCCAGACCTGCCACTACTTCCATGAAGTGTGTGATGCCGAGGGCGTGTGGAGACGCATCTGTCGCAGGCTCAGTCCACGCCTCCATGACCAGAGTTCTGGCACCCGGCCCTGGAAGAGAGCAGCCATTCTTAACTGTATACCCCTCTTTCCCCCAGTGACTTCCTCCTCTCTTTGCCTCTAACCTTCCTCATTCTGGCACTTCCTTCTTTCCTTCTTTGTCAAGTTGCCTGGTGATCTTTGTACCCCCTACTAACCTTTTCTCTGGAAGAAACTTTGTCAGACCCAAATACCCAAACATATTCCCGAAAGTACTTTCTCTAAGGTTCTCTGCCCACCTTTGGCAGTCGTCTCATTCATAGAGCCATTACCATCCCAGCTTCCAGCCTCCCTGCATGTACCAACTCGCTTACCCTACAGACATCCCCATACCTCAGACCTGGAGTTTACCCTCTTTTCAACTAGGATATTTGAACTTTGTCGCTGTGTGTGTGTATGCTTTGTATGCATGTAAGCATGCGTGGGTACACCAGCTGCATGTGTGGAGGCCAGAAGTTGATGCTGGGTGTCGCCCTCTGTTTCTGGACTTCTGTTTTGAGACAGGCTTTCCCATTGAACCTGGCGCTTGCCATTTTGTCTAGGTAGGATGGCCAGCAAGACCCAGGGATCCTCCTGTCTCTACTTTCCTCTCCTTACAACCAGTGCTGGGGTTAAGGATGTTCCACACCCCACTTTTATGTGGATGATGGGGATCCAGTTCAGGTCCTTGTGCTTGTACAGTAAGCACTTTACCCACTCAGCCTCTCCTCAGCCTTTTGACATCTACCCTAACCTCAAATTAATTTTTTTTATTAACAGTGTTTTGCCTGCATATATGTCTGTGCACTATATGTGTGCCTGGTGCCACCCAGAGTCCAGAAGAGGGTGTCATATACCCTGGAACTGGAGTTACAGATGGTTGTGAGCCAACATGTGGATACTGGGAACTAAACCCAGGTCCTTTGCAAGAGAAGCCAGTGCTCTTAACCACTGAGTCACCTCGGTAGCCCCCCAACCTCAATTTTTAAATATATTTTTATTATTATTTTTATTTTATGTGTTTGAGTATATTGCCTGCATGTATGGAAGTGCACTAATCTTGTGCAACACCCACAGAAGTCAGAAGAGAGAGTCCAATCCCCTGGAACTGGAGTTATAGACAGTTGTGAACTGCTCTGTGGGTACTGGAATTCAAACCCAGGTCCTCTGCAAGAACAGCCAGTGCTCTTAACCACTGAGCCATCTCTCCAGCCCCAGAGCCTCAATTTTTGACAGTTGAGATGAAATAATTCCTTGTTTTTTCTTTTTTCCATTTCCATGTGTACATGCATGTGGAGGATGAGGTTGTCATGACTCATCCCGAAACGCTCTTCCACTCTATTCAATGAGGCAGAGTCTCTCATCAAACCAAAAGCTCACAAACCTCCTAGCTAGCTTGCTCTGAGGATCCAGTCTCGCATTTCCAAGGCTGGAATTATAAGCAGGCAACCACCCATCTGGCACTGGCATCCGGACTTCCGGTCTCAGGCTTGCGTACAAGCACTTAACCACTGAGCCATCTCCCAAGCCAGAGATGAAATAATTCTTTGTGGTGGTGGCTGTCCTATTTCTAATATGATGTTTATTTTAGTAGCACCAACTCCCCTGGTTGCCACAACCAGTGCTCCCTGAGAGATAAAGTCACTCCAACTGTGCTCCAGACCAGTTCCACTCTAGGAAATCCCTATCCAGTTAGTTCTTACACACACACACACACACACACACAGACACACACACAGACACACACGCACACACACACGCACGCACAAGCACAAACCCCTGAGTCCAGAAAGCAGAGCCACATCCGGGGGTTGAGGGAAGCTGGCATTTCTCAGTCATTCCTTTCTTTTTTATGCCTCTTTTCTATGTGTTTATTCTAACACTTCCTCTGAGTTTGGACCAAAGAGATGCAAACTAAGAAACGTGTGGCCTCAGGGTGGGGTGGGGCAAACCAAGCTTTTCCGATCTCCCTTGGAATGGGTGTAATCCATACTCTTAGTTTAGGGAAACAATAAATACCAGGGTGTTAGGGGGAAAAAAAAAAACTAGCTTGCCCAAGCTCTGACTCTGCTCTCTCATGTCCACTCCACCCTTGAAAATTCCATCTCTTTCTATTCTCCAGATACAAAGGGCCTGTATTTCCAGGCATTTGGAGGCCGCCGCCGATGTCTCAGCAAGAGTGTGGCCCCCATGCTAGCCCACGGCTACCGCCGCTTCTTACCCACGAAGGATCACGTGTTCATTCTGGACTATGTGGGGACCCTATTCTTCCTCAAAAACGCCCTGGTCTCCTCCACCTTTGGCCAGATCCAGTGGAGGCGGGCCTGCCGCTATGTGGTGTTGTGTCGTGGAGCCAAGGATGTGAGTAGGGGGCTCTGGCTGCTGAGAACCCAACCCTCCTCCAAGAGACCCCACCAGTTCTGAGGTATCTCTCCATTAGGGGGGTGGTCAGGACATCTGCCCTCTCTTACAGAACCTGAAAGCAAGTTATTTTTGGTTTTGCTTTGTTTTATTACCTTTTTGCAGTGCCAGGAATTGAACTAAGGGACTCACCCATTTTAGGCAAGTGTACTCAGTTACATCACCAAGCCAAGCCTTAATTAAGCTTTGGTCTCCCCCTCCTCTCCCTTCCTCTTCTTCTTCTTCTTCTTCTTCTTCTTATTATTATTATTATTATTATTATTATTGGTCTTTTCGAGACAGGGACTTCATGCAGCCTTAGCTGGCTTGGAACTTACTGTGAGATGGCCTCCATCTCATAGGGAGGCCATCTCGCAGAGATCTACCTACCTCTGCCTCCTGAGTGCTGGGATTAAAGGCATGTATCACCACACCTGGCTTATTATTATTTTTAATTGCACTTATTTATATTTTTGAGGTTGGGGGATTACAAGCTTGTAGAGGTCAGGACAATTTTCAGGAGCTGGTTCTCTTCTCTTCTTCTACCTTGTGGATCCTGGGACTCTAACTCAGGTCATCAGGCTTGGTACCAACTACTTTACCACCATCTTAAGGGCTCAGGCCTCATTTCTTAACCCAAAGGAATCTCATCTCCCACCCCATTATCCACTTTCTCCAGCCTCATCCCATTCCAAAGTTCCAGATCCCAGACAGCCTCATCTTTCTCCACAGTTTGCCTCCGACCCGAGATGTGACACAGTTTATCGTAAATACCTCTATGTGTTGGCTACTCGGGAGCAGCCAGCAGTGGTGGGCACCACCAGCAGCAGGGCCTGCGACTGTGTGGAGGTCTATCTGCAGTCTAGTGGGCAACGGGTCTTCAAGATGACATTCCATCACTCCATGAGCTTCAAGCAGATTGTGCTAGTTGGCCAGGAGACCCAGCGGGCTCTACTGCTCCTCACAGGTGTGATCTAAAAAGGAGTGATTTGCAAAAGTTTCTAGCAGATTCTTCAGGACTTGCTCCTGGGGAGAGGAAGGAAGGTCTGGCATACAAGAGTTCTGTCTGCCACCTGTTCCAGCTCTCAATTCCAATAGTTCTAGAATTCTGTATCATATTTCAGATGAATAAAGGTCTTTGCTCAGGCTGAGGATGTAGCCCAATTAGCTGAGTGCTTATTAGTGTTCATGAAGTCCTGGGTTCAAGTCCTAACACTGTCTAATGTGGATGTGGTGACACATGTCTGTAATCTCAACATTTGGGAGATAGAGCCTCAGGAGTTAGAAGTTTTCCTCAAGCTACATAATAAGTTTGAGGCCAGTCTAGGCAAAACACTTATACACATAAAAAATAAATTCATTTGGCCAGGCATGGTGGCACATGGCTTTAATCCCAGCACTTGGGAGGCAGAGGCAGGCGGATTTTTGTGAATTCAAGGCCAGCCTGGTCTACATAGTGAGTTCCAGGACAGCTGGGGCTACAAGGAGACCCTGTCTTAAAAAAGACAAAAAATAAAAATAAATTCATTTTAAAAACTCTCTAAAAAAACCTAATGCCCCCAAACTTCTATTTCTAGTACTTTCTACCCCAAATTATCTCCCACTTTCCCTGTCCCCTGTACTTGATCACCCTCCTCAAATCAGAGAACCTATGGACATCTAAATCCCAGACAGGAACCTAAATCCCCAGACTTATTCTTCCCAACACTCAAATTAGAGTCTGTGACATCTAATTAGTAGGTTTCTCTCCACTAGTCTCTTATGCTGAAAGTATGTCCCTGATTTGTTTTCAGGACTGGGGTCTGGGAGTCTGGAGGCCATGTTCCTTTTTATCTTTTTTTGAGACAGGGTCTCACTATGTAGTTCAGGCTGGCCTGAACTTTAGAGATCTGCCTGTCTCTGCCTCCCAAGTACTGGAATTAAAGATATGTGCCAACATACCCAGCTCCCTTTTTTGTTTGTTTTGTTTAGCTGAGACAGGGTCTTCCAGTAGCCTAGCTGTCCTGGAGCTTGAGATGTAGACCAGACTGACCTTGATCTCATAGACATCTGCTTGCCTCTGTCTCTCTGTCTCTGGTGCTGGGATTAAAGGCACACACCATCATTCTCAATTCATCTCTACCTTCCTTCCTTCATTCCTTCTTTTGTGTATGCTGTGCTCTGTGTGTGTGTGTGTACAGGCATATCCATGCCACAGTATACATATGGACGTCGGAAGACAACTTTCAAGAGTCCATTCTCTCTCTCCTTTCACATGGGTTCCAGGGTTCAAACCCAGATTGTCAGACTTGCATAGCAAGTGCTTTTACCTACTGAGTCATCTTGCCAGCCCTTTTCCCTTTTTCTTCCACTTCCACTATCTTATCAGTAAATGTTTCATCCTGTGTACATGAGGACTCCATGGGAGGTTAATCTGGCTATTGGTGAGTCCCCTCCACTGTATAACTGTATGCCTCCCTTCATCTACCCAGAGGAAGGAAAAATCTACTCATTGGTAGTGAATGAGACCCAGTTGGACCAGCCACGCTCCTACACAGTGCAGTTGGCACTCAGGAAGATGTCTCAATGCCTACCTCACCTGCGTGTGACCTACATGGCTTCCAACCAGAGCAGCATTCTCTATATCACAGGTAAGAACCAGTTCCTGGGGCTGGGAAGATGACTCAGAGGGTCAAAGTTATTGCTGTGCAACTGAGAGGACCTGGGTTCCAATCCCCAGAACCCACATAAAGCAGAGTGCAGTAGCAGCCCACTGTTCTTCAGTGAGATGAAAGGCAGAGACAGAGGAACCCTGGCAGCTCAAGGGCCAGCTAGCCTGGCCTACGAAGCAACAAAACAAGAAACACTATCTCAGATAAGGACTACAGCTGAGGTGGTCCTCTGATCTCCACACATGCATGCAGGGGGGCATGCGCATGCCAATGCCTACACATACACCGTACATAAAAGATGAAAAATTAAAATTAAAAAAGAACCACCTCCCTCTTAAGACTCTGGCTTGGACAGACCCCTCCACATGCCAATACCCCTCTGGGTGTGAAAGCATGTGGCCTGGCTCCCAGGCATCAGAGCATTGGTCAGAGGTATGAGACTCCCTGAAATTTTTCAGCTTTTACCATCCCAGATGGGGCCTTATCCCTAGGAAATGGGTGCCCAAAGCTACTGAGCTGAGAGCTCCCAACCCCCCAGACCAGGGGGGAGTGTATTTTGAGGTGCACACCCCAGGGGTGTATCGTGATCTCTTTGGGACCCTTCAAGCCTTTGACCCCCTGGACCACCAGATGCCACTTGCTCTCTCGCTGCCTGCCAAGGTAGGATGCCTGAGGGGTGGGGACAGGGTGGGGCAGAGCAGACGGTTGGGGCTCTAGGGATTGGAAGGTTGGATCTGGATGTGAGAGGGGACCCAGATGGGATCAGTGAGGGGGAAGTTCTGGAGCTGAGTTCCTTGGGAACTGAGTGCCTACCTGCCCTTTTTTGTCTCAAACTTCCCAGGTACTAGTCTGTGCTCTTGGCTATAATCACCTTGGCCTGGTGGATGAGTTTGGCCGGACCTTTATGCAGGGAAATAACAGATATGGACAGCTTGGAACAGGGGACAAAATGGATCGAGGGGAGCCCACACAGGTGAGATTATTTCCCAGCAATGCTCACCCAGTTTTGTGGGGTTTTTTTGGTTTATTTTTATTTTATGTATATGAGTATTTTGCCTGCATGTTTGTAAGTGCACCTGTGTTGTGCAATGCCAACAGAGGCCAGAAGAGGATGTGGATCCCCTGGAACAGTTGTTAGTAACAGTTGTTAGTTGATATGTGGGTGCTGGGAGGAGGAGACAGGAGGATCCTAGGGCCTTGCCTGTCAGCCAGCTTAGCCAGTCAGTGAGCTCTGGCTTCAGTGAGAGATCCTGTCTCAAAAAATAAGGTGGGGGGCTGGAGAAATGGCTTAGCTGTTAAGAACACTGGTTGTTCTTGCAGAAGACCCAGGTTCAAATCCCAGCACCCACATGGCAACTAACAACTGTCTGTAACTCCAGTCCCAGGGAATCCAACAGCCTCTTCTGACCTCCGAGAGCATTGCACAACACAGGTGCACTTACCTACATGCAGGCAATACATGCATACACATAAAATAAAAATCATAAACAATGAAAAAAATAAAGTGGAAAGACTGGAGAGATGGCTCAGTGGTCAAGAGCCCTGACTGCTCTTGCAGAGGACCAGGGTTCAGTTCCCAGCAACCACATAGTGGCTAACAACCATCTATTACTCCAGTTCCAGAGGAGCTGACACCCTCTTCTGTCCTCCACAGGCATTGCATGATATAGGTGCACTTACATGCATGCAGGCAATAAATACACTCATATACATAAAAATAATAAATAAAATACAAAAAAACTCCACAATGAAACACTGAATCAGAAATGTCTGGTTAGCAATTAGATTCCAAGTTAGAACAAGGTTGAAACGACAAAAACCGAAACACGGGGCAGATGAGGCAACAGCTATCATTGGTATAGGGAATGAGAAGAGATGCTCTTGGACCAGGAGACTGGGGGTGTAGCTCAGTGGGTAGAGTGCTTGCTTAGCATGCATGAGGCCCTGGGTTCCATCCCCATCATCACATAAACTAGGCTTGGTGGTATATACCTGTAATCCAATGGCACGCACTGGTGTATACACATACACACACATACACACACACACACACACACACACACACACTATCCAACAAGGTGTTAATGGTTAGTGGTGGAATTTCTGGTGATTTTTAATTTTTCAGAGACAGGCTTTCATTATGTACCCTGGACTAGCATGGAACACGGTATAATCTTCGTGCCTCACCATACCTGGTTGATTTTTTAAAAATTGTTACTTTCTGGTAATAATTATTTTTGTGTTTGGGGCGTGTGTGTGTGTGTGTGTGTGTGTGTGTGTGTGTGTGTGTGTGTGCGTGTGTGTGTGTATGTGTGTGTGTGTGTGTGTGTGTGCGTGTGTGTGTGTGTATGTGTATGTGTATAAGAACATGTGCAGGTGCCTGAGGAGGCCCAGTTGGGTGCTGGGAACTAAACCCAGGTCCTCTGCAAGAGCAGCAAGTACTCTTAACCACTGAGCCATCTCTCCAGTCCTTTAGTGTTCATTGTTTTGTTTTTGTTCTTTCAACACAGGGTCTCACTATTTAGCCCTAGCTGGCCTGGAACTTACGTAGAGCAGGCTGGCCTTGAACTCACAGAGATCCACCTACCTCTGTCTCAAGAGTGCTGGGACTGAAGGTGTATGCCACCATGCCAGGCTCTTGTTTTTGAGACAAGGTCTTTTTATGTAGCCCTGGCTGGCCTAGTACTCATTGTGTAGACCAGCTAGTCTTGAGGAACTTGTAGCAATCCTCCTGTCTCTGCCTTTCAAGTGCTGGGATTATAGACATGCACCAACACACCTAGCCTTGAAATTTCCCTTTATTGACCATAAATTACTTACCTATATCTTTTGGAATTAAAGTGCCAACAGTGTCAAGATAATGAGTGCACAGGAAGGGGCTGCGAGTTAGCAGCTAGGTTGAATGCCTGTGGAGACAGTCTTCAGTGGGAGGGAGAGAAGCCACATCATAAAGTTCAGGAAAAACTGGCTGTTGCCTGGAACAACAATGTGGTCAACCTCAGACTGGTCATGTAGCCAGTTCTGCGTAGCCAAACATCAGGAGGCAGGTGGAAATATTTCTTACAAAAAGGAATGGCCAATTTGAAAGATATTAAGAGAACAAACTGAAAATGTTGGAGATGGGGCTGGAATGTGGCTCAGTAAACTTGCTTAACAGGCAAGAAGCTCTGGGTTTGATCCCCAACACCTAGAAATGTGGTGGAGCACACCTGAAATCCAGCCCGGGAAGGAGGTAGCAGGTAGATCAGCATTTCTGGCCAGCCTTGGCTACATAGCTGTTTTAAGCCACCCTGAGCTACATCATATACTCTTTCTCATATATATATATATCTCCGTGTGTGTGTGTATAACTCTGTTGGTAGAGTGCCTGCTAGGCACAAAGTGCAGGGTTCCATCCCCAGCACCTCATAAAACCAGGCATGATAGTGTAGGCCTGTACTTCCAGCACTGGGGAGGTACGCAGAAGGATCTCTGGAGTTCAAGGTCATCCTTGGCTACATAGAAAGTCTGGGGGAGTTGCACAGGAAGGAGAGGGGGCTTTAGTTCAGGCCTTGGAAAGAGGAAAACTTGAGGCCAAACCTGTGACTGAAAATGAGGTAGTAGATATCAGGCCTTTTCCTCAAGAAACAGTATATTCCCTAAGGAGCAAAGACGAGGTATTCACCAACTACCAGACACCCCCCCACACACACCCCAGACTGTTGGGGGGCTATGTGGGCACAAGAAGGGACAGTTAGCTGCCAGCCTGTGGAACAAGGCAGACCTTCTGAGAAGGACCTTCCTTCCAACTCTCTAGATCGCATTTTTCCCTGAGTCTTCCAGTCAGCATTCTCCATCCTGGGTCCCCCATCCCTTGGTGTCCCCACCCCAAGGTCCCTGGCCATGTTGTCTTGTCTATCCTTAGGTACATTATCTGCAACGCCCCATTGCTCTTTGGTGTGGCCTCAACCATTCCCTGGTGCTGAGCCAGACCTCAGATTTCAGCAAGGAGCTGCTGGGCTGTGGCTGTGGGGCCGGAGGCCGCCTCCCAGGCTGGCCTAAGGGGAGCGCCTCCTTCGTCAAGCTGCACATCCAGGTCAGAGCAGAGTCAGGCAAGCAAGCACAGCGCAGTAGGGCCAAGTGGCCCATTGAACTGCAGCCGGGACTAACCTCTTTCCTTCCTTTCCTTTTTTTTTTTATAAAGAGTTTTAATTTATGGGGGAGGGAAAGGAGGGGGATATACCTCAGCATGCATGTGGGGAAAGGAGGGGGATATACCTCAGCATGCATGTGGGGAAAGGAGGGGGATATACCTCAGCATGCATGTGGAAGTCCGAGGACAACTCTCAGCAATCAGTTTTCTCCTTGTCCCAGGGATGGAACTCAGATTGCTATGCTAGGCAACAAGCACCCTTACCCCTTTTTTACAAACACATTCTGCCTGTGTGGTCCAGCCTGGCTCAAATTCTAGATCTTCCAGCCTCCAGCTTATAGTTGGCTTCCCTGCAGGGACCCAGCAGTTCCATTTCCTCAGCTCCTCGCCATCTCCCTTTCCTGCGATGCCACTCTACTCTGGGCTTTCTCCCTTAGCATACCCTAATGGACTTGTTTGACCTCACATAGCCCTGACACAGAGTCAGTTATGGCTCGCTTGCTTGTTCAGGGCCTGTCTGAGAGGGACCAACACAGACTTAGCCACCTTCCTGGGAGCCTGGGCAATGTTAAGCCTCCATCAACCAGACTCTTTCTCTCTAAGGTCCCCTTGTGTGCCTGCTCCGTCTGCTCCACCCGAGAATGCCTCTATATGTTATCCAGCCACGACATCGAGCACTCCCTTGCCTATCGAGATCTGCCAGCCAGCAGGGTAGGGGGAAGCCCCGAGCCCAGCCAGGGGGCTGGAGCCTCCCAGGACCCTGGAGGGACAGCCCAGGCCTGTGAGGAGTACCTCAGCCAGATCCACAGCTGCCCCACACTGCAGGACCGCATGGCAAAGATGAAGGAGATTGTGGGCTGGATGCCCCTCATGGCAGCTCAGAAGGATTTCTTCTGGGAGGCCCTAGACATGCTGCAGAGTGGCCCAGGCACCTCCACCCCTGAGAGCTGACCCCCTTCCTCCTAGCCTTCCTCCCAGAGGGAATCTGGCTCTGGGCCAGGGGCTCAGGGGAGATGGAATGGCAAAGAACATTGTATGTGCACAGGGCCGTTGGTTGGGATCAAGGGGGGCGGGGGAAGTGCTGGGCATACAGGGTAGGGCAATGGAACTCTTTTGTAAAATGTTCTGGGGGTCTGCCCAGGAGGGGCCCCTAACCTATCATGGATGAGAGATTTGATGGACAGATAGAATAAAAGGCTAAAGTGAGGCCTGATTTAACACCCTGGGGCCTTGTAGGGGACAAGGGATGGGGGGCAGTAGTACAATGCGTGGCCTGGTGGGAGAGGGCAGGCAGAAACATCAATGTAAGTTCTTGGTTTGCCTAGAAATGACAACAGCCCAGCTTGCCTTTCCCTTCCAATTCCCAAGCCCTCACCCCATCGTTTTGACTTGGAGCTTGGGCCTTGCCTTGTGGATTAACTCAGTCGACCACACTGCTTATTTTCCCAGCCATTTTTGCTTCTTTTTTTAAAAGACAAATTCTCACTGTATAGCCCTGGCTGAAACTCAGTCTTCCTGTCTCCACTTCCAGAGTGCTGGGATTACAGGTACGCATCACCATACCTGGATTAGACTGGCAGTCTTTACCACAGGGAGTGCCTTCCCCCAGCCCTCCATCCTTATGAAGTCAGCACCTTTTTCTCTTCCTGTTGTCATCATCCAAGCCTGGTCTCCTCTGTATTTTTCCTTTTCTGTTTCTTCTCTTCCCCAATGACAGGGATACTCCATCTCTCCCTTACCCACAATCCTGTACCTTCAGATATTTGGAAGAGAAAATAAGTGAGCAGAATTCCTCTTCCTTGGAAAATCAGGGATGTGGTCTAGGGATAGAGGGAAAGCCATAAGAATGTGCAAAGGACCCTGGATAAGGTGGTGCAGGCCTAAAATTCCAGCACTTGGGAGGCTGAGACCGGAGGATGGAAAGCTCTAGACTAGCCTAGGCTACATGGCAAGACTCTATCTCAAAAAACTACCCAGAAATGTGCAGTGGTTCATGGACTAGACAGGGAGGGGCCCAAGAAGAACATATTTGGATGCTGAGAAGCAGCAAGCAGGTGGGGGATCTAGGATGGGCCAGACAGTCCCAGGAAGGACCAGAGCTGTGGAGTTTGGGGCAGGGGACACAGTGGAGTTGCAGATGGTATCACTTGAGACCTGGGTGATGCTGTCTCTGACCCTAGTTGCTCCATCTCTTCCTCTGGTCAATATATATCCTAGACCTAGAGTGGCCCCTGCAGGGACTCATCACTATCCTAGCTGTCTCCCTGTCCCGCCTTCCCTGCCCGCCCAGCCGGCCAGTCCCCACGCCCACACACCCAGGGCTGCCTCATCTGGCACTGATTATCCTGCTGCTGCTGCTGCTCCTGAACTCAGCTGCTGCCTTCAGCACTCCCCCCCCACACCATGCTGCCTGCTGCCCCAGCCTCCTTTCTGGGGCCGTTCCTTGCCGCCTGGGTGCTGCTGCCTCTTACCCAAGGCCAGACCCCCAACTACACCAGGTAGGTCTCTCATCTTCCAAATGGCTTGAGGGTCCTTCAAAACTCTGCTGACTCCTGAGCCGAGGGTGCTATGCCTGTAGGTTTTGCAGGCTCTTCTGCTAGCAACTCCCCTTCCATTCCCCATCTCCCCCTCCTCCAGCTCCCAAGTTCTCCCTATCTGCTGAAAGACCACGGTGGTCTGCAGGTCATCACTTCCCATGACTTCATCACCCTTCCTCCTCTGCCCACTTAAATCTCCCCGTCCACCCAGCCCGGTGGCCCCCCATGGAGCCTGAAAGGAAAGCCACAACCCTGAGCTTGTCTGGTAGCTGACCTTCAGGGAAGGGATAAGAACGTTGGGGGGAAGGAGGCAGCCAGCAGAGAGGCAGATGCTGGTCCTTATCTGGAACCTGGAACAGGGCGAAGGTGGGAGCCCCTATCTCTAGGTCCAACTGTTGGGACATCGCTGCTGCTCCCCCTCATCTTTCCTGCTCCCCCCCATGTCTCTGCCCCCTCCCCCCAGCAGCCTCGTGGCTTGCCACATCTGGAAGTAGTTAGGCGGCTCCTGTCCCTGACTGCCAGGCAGGGCGAAGGGGGAGAGAGAAAGCAAGGGGGACTGAGGAGGATTCCGGGAATTCCTGTCCGCGTGGGGGTGGGGCCTCTAGGGGCTGGAGAGATGGCCCAGTTGCCTGGTCCCACTTTCTCCTGATCTTCAAACTCCAGTCTCAGCCCCACTGAGCCTGAAGCCTCATTGCCTGGGGCCTCCCATCCTACGGTCAGACCCATCTCTCTGATACTCCCCACTTTGCCTGACCCCCTCTTCTGTCTTCCAGACCTGTGTTCCTGTGCGGAGGGGATGTGACTGGGGAGTCAGGTTACGTGGCAAGTGAGGGTTTCCCCAATCTCTATCCCCCAAGTAAGAAGTGCATCTGGACAATAACGGTGAGACACTCTTCTGGTCATTGCTTCTTTATCAGGCCTGGCAGCTCAGGGATCACCCTCCCCACCAGCCATCTCAGCCTCAATTTGGGAAGCCCTCTCCCCTTGTCACTGAGGGCTTCAATCCCCACAGTAACATACCTTGAGTCCCCCCACTCCTCCCTGTCCCTACAGGAAATTGAGCCCTGACTCTTAGTCTGACTAGGCCAGAGCTCTACCACTGAGCTACATCCCAGCCATTTACCTGTGTGTGTGTGTGTGTGTGTGTGTTGTGTGTGTGTGTGTGTGTGTGTGTGTGTGTGTGTGTGTGTAAGTGTACATTCCTGTGTGTACATGCAGAGGCCAGAGGGGGACATCAGGTATCTTGCTGTCACTCTGCCTTATTACCTTCACACAAAGTCTGTCACTAAACCTGGAGCTAGGGAGGGGCTGGAGAGATGACTTAGCTGTTAGGAGCACAAGGTGCTCTTGCAGAGGACACCCCCTCCACCCCCCACACCCTGCCCAGGTTTGATTCCCAGCACCCACATGGCAACTAACCACCCTCTATAACACCAGTTCTAGGGGACCCGATGCCCTCTTCTGGCCTCCACAAGCATTGCATGCACATGGTGGACTTACACATGTGCAGGCAAAACACTCATACGCATAAAATTTAAAAAATTAAAGCAAGTTGGTCTGTAAGCCAGCAAGCCCCAGCCATCCTTTCTCTGCCTCCCCTGCTCTGCCAGTGCTGGAGGTACATGCTTGTCACAGCTGGCTTTTTTTTTTTTTTTCTGTCTTTTTGAGACAGGGTCTTCCTGTAGCCCCAGCTGTCCTGGAACTCACTATGTAGACCAGGCTGGCCTCGCACTCACAAAGATCTGCCTGCCTCTGCCTCCCAAGTGCTGGGATTAAAGGCATGCGCCACCACACCCGGCCCACAGCTGGCTTTTAAAAAATATATATTTTTTATTTATTATTTTTATTTTATGTATACTCCCTTCATGTATGTAAATGCAATGCCTGCAGAGGTCAGAGGAGGGCATCGGATTCCCTGGAACTGGAGTTAAGGACAGTTGTTAGCTGCCATGTGGGTTCTGGGAATCAACCTGGGTCCTCTGCAAGAGCAGTCAGTGCTCTTAACCATTGAGCCATCTCTCCAGCCCCCCACAGCTGGCTTTTTACGTGGATCCTGGGGGTTTGAACTCAAGTCCTCATGCTTGAGGAACAGGCACTCCCAGATGACTCCCACCAAGTCATCTCCCAGACCCCTTTATTTTTAATTTTAAAAATTTATGTATATGAGCATGCACTGCCCCTCAGAGGCCAGAAGAGGGTATCAGACCTTCAGAAACTGGAGTTAGGGATGTTTATGAGCTGTCATGTAGGTGCTGGGAGCCGAACCTGGGTCCTCTGCAAGAGCAATAAATGCTCTTAACCACTGAGTCATCTCTCTAGCTCCTCCCCTTTATTTTTGAGACAGGATCTCCACAAGTTAAGGGCCTTGAATTTATGATCCTCCTGCCTCAGCCTCCCAAATAGTTGGAATTAAGGGTGTGCTACCAGAGCTCCTGGTTCTGAACCTTAATTCTTCATTTTGTTGAGGCAAGGTTTCACTGTGTAGCCCAGGCTGGCCTTGAATTCTGATACAATCCTTCTGCCTCAACACCTCAAGTAATAGGATTGCAGGTGTGCTTCCCCATACCTAGCTGTAGTCTTTGAAAAAAAATTATTTTTATTTTATGCGTATGAGTGTATTGCCTGCATGTAGGTAGGTGTATCCATGTTGTGCAATGCTGGAGGAGGTCAGAAGAGGGCGTCAGGTCCCCCTGGAACTGGAGTTAAGGATGGTTATCAGACCGTGGGTTCTGGGAATGAAACCCAGGTCCTCTGCAAGAGCAGACAGTGCTCTTAACCCTGAGCATCCCTCCAGCCCATAGCTGCAGTCTTAATTCTAACCCATATTGCAAATCCTGAGTCTCCATTCCTGACTTCCTTTCTTCCTGTCTCTCTGGAGACCATAAGTCAGCTGCACAGCCCAGGCCCTCTGCACCGCCTTGGCGGGGGTTCACTCCAGTTACGGCCATTTCTGTAGGAAATGTTGGGGGAAGGGGCGCTATCCACTGTCAGGGATGTGTGTAGCCTGATTTTGTCGTCCCCCACCCCCCCAATCAGGTCCCTGAGGGCCAGACTGTATCCCTTTCCTTCCGTGTCTTCGACATGGAACTGCACCCCTCCTGCCGATACGATGCTTTGGAGGTCTTTGCTGGGTCTGGAACCTCAGGCCAGCGACTTGGACGCTTCTGCGGGACCTTCCGGCCTGCACCCGTGGTCGCCCCCGGCAACCAGGTGACCTTAAGGATGACAACGGATGAGGGCACTGGAGGACGAGGCTTCCTGCTCTGGTACAGCGGTCGGGCGACCTCGGGCACTGGTGAGCCTCCTTGCCTCCACTTTCCCCACGCCTTGCCCCGCCCTGGTTCAGGTCCTCACCCCTGCCCTAACCTTGACCCATCCCCTCAGACGACCCCCAAGAGTTAGGGTCACCATTCCTCCCTTTCTCCTCACTAACCGCCCCTTCAGTCCCTCCTCCCGGTCTTCTCTCCCCCTCCCGCTCCCACCCACCCCTCTTCCAGGGCCCCCCCCAGGTGCGAGGCGGAAATGGGTCATGGACCCGCGGGTGGAATGGGCGGCCTGGGGTTACTGGGACGGTGAGTAACTGCCCGCCCCCCTCCGCAATCGGGCTCTTCTGACGGGAGCAAGGGGGCACCCCAGGCTCGGGGGACTAGAAGCCCCCCTCTTGGAGCCCCCCCATACCCAGTCCTGGGATCCCGATTGCGGTCCCATCATCCCCCTCCCGGCAGTATAAGTCTCTCTGGAAATGTTTCGGGCAGGGACCTCCCCAGAGGGGAGGACACCCTCACAATGTGAGGACTCTCCAGCCTGCTTACGGGGAGTCTTCTGCCAGGCCGGGCTGGGGAGATGGGATCTCCCAGGGGAAGAGGCGCGGTGTGGCCACGGGTAGGGGAGGGGCAAGAAGGGAGCCACTCAATCATTTCCTCTTCCTCTGTGGGCACCCTGAGCCCGGATTCTCCCAGTCCTTTGCTAATCTGCGCCCTCTCTGTCATTTTGAGACCCAGACATCCGAGCTGCACGTCAGCTCGCTAGCTGACAGAGGGTCTCCACCGCCCCCCACCCGGTCCCTCTCTCCCCTCCCCAGAGCACCAGTTTTGCGGGGGGCGGATGGAGAAGGCACAGGGAACCCTGACCACGCCAAACTGGCCTGAGTCCGATTACCCCCCGGGCATCAGCTGTTCCTGGCACATCATTGCACCCCCGAACCAGGTATCAACCCTCTGCGCTGGGCTGCCTGTGTGTGGGGGTGGGGGTGGGGGGTGTCCTAGGTGGGGTCCTTAAAGCATACAGCTAGCAAATTTTATTTACTATTGGTGTCCTGAAATCTGAGCATGCCCTGCTGGGGACCAAAACCAGATCCAGACCCAGTTTACATGGAAACCAAAAATATAGACATACAACTGTGGCTGGTCTTGGGAGAGTGAGGTACCCAGTGCGGATATGAACTGCGGGTGGTGTTATTGGGGTGGGATTCTGTTCATTGAGAGTGAGTTAGGATGGACTTGACCTTGCCAACCAGCGTAAAGAATGCTTCCTGAAGGTGAGTTTGGTGATGATGCACATGGCTTTAGCCTCAACACTTGGGAGGCAGAGGCAGGTGGATCTCTCTTTGAGTTCAAGGCCAGCCTGATCTACTAGTGAGTTCCAGGACAGGTGGGACAACAGGGAGACCTGTCTCAAATAAAAAAAAAAAAAAAAAAAAAAAAAAAAGCTTCCTGCAAGCTTGTGTGTGTGTGATCCTCAGGTCAGTCATGTGACTGTTACCAAAGAGGGAGCAAGGGGGTGCTGCTGCCAAGCATCCCTGGATGGGTAAGAGATGCAGGGCACCCTTTGGTCCTGCCTAGCCTGTCCCAGTATGCAATGTTTCCACCAGGTGATCACACTGACCTTTGGGAAGTTTGATGTGGAGCCTGATACCTACTGCCGCTATGACTCAGTCAGTGTGTTCAACGGAGCTGTGAGCGATGACTCTAAAAGACTGGGGAAGTTCTGTGGAGACAAGGCTCCTGGGTGAGGGGTGGGCCCTTGGGCAGGCGGTGGGAATAATACTGCATCTCTTTAGGGATAGTTGCAAAGGCCATGGGGGTTGGGGGGAGCAGGGCTCCACCGACCAGATGGGATCAGAGCTCTAGGGCTCTAGACCATTGGTTAGAACCAACTATAAGAGCTGGCAAAGATTTAGTGCCTCTTCTGACAGCTTCAGAAGCTTCAGCTCCAGAGAGTTGTGGAGACTCTGATGTCAGGGAAATAGTACCGGGGACAGTCACCAAGGGACAGAGCAAGGTGCACTGCTCACCTTGATGCCTCTCCAAATACCTCTCTGCTGCAGCCCCATCTCTTCTGAAGGGAATGAACTCCTGGTCCAGTTTGTCTCAGATCTCAGCGTCACAGCAGATGGCTTCTCAGCTTCCTACAAGACCCTGCCACAGGGCACTGCAGAGAAAGAGCCAGCCCCTAGCCCAGGGGAGGATACCCAGCAGGGTCCCCAATCCCACCCTGGCCCTAAGACAGGAAGTGGGCCAAAAGTCAAACCACCTACCAAACCCAAGCCCCAGCCTGCTGAGAAGCCAGAGGTCTCCCCTGATACCCAGGCAACTCCAATGGGCCTGGGTGAGTGTGAGAAGATGGGAAAAGGGTATGGACAGAAGCACTGTTATTCCTTGGCTCACTGTTCATTTGATCAACACTTGCTGGTGCCTTTCTTGCCAACATCCAGAACTGGTTGCTAGGGAGTAATGAGTAGAATTCTGAAAGAGCTTTCCTAAAATTCCCCAACTGAGGGCCTGAGACAGTATGGCTCAGCTATAGAATGTTTCCTTAGAATCCCCCAGTGAGGGGCCCAGGGTGTGGCTCAGTGATAGAGCACCTGCCTAGAATCCCCCCAGTGAGGACTGGGAATGTGGCTCAGTGGTAGAGCACCTGCCTAGAATCCCCCAGTGATGGGCTGGGAGTGTGGCTCAGTGGTGGATCACCTGCCTAGAATCCCCCAGTGAAGGATTGGGGTTTGACTCAGCTATAGAGCACTTGTCTAGCATGAATCAGGCTCTGGTTCCAGCCCTAGCACTGCAAATAAAACACCAAATAGGCCGCTATGGGGAAAATGGTCTTGCCTGCAGGGTAGGCCACCCTCCACAAACAGCACTGTCTCTCCTAGACGTACCCAGTATCACCTGTCCAAAGCAGTACAAGCGGTTAGGCACCTTGCAGAGCAACTTTTGTGCCAGTAATCTGGGTAAGACGATTTACTCCTACCCTTCCAGCTCTTCTACACCCTTTCCCATTGTCCTGCCCTAGCCTCCTGACCCTCATCTCTCACCTCCATCCTTTCACAAGTGGTGACCGGAACAGTGAAGACCATGGTTCGGGGCCCAGGTGAAGGCCTCACAGTCACTGTCAGTCTCCTCCATGTTTACAAAACTGGAGGCTTGGACCTGCCCTCTCCGCCCACTGACACCCCTCTGAAGTTCTATGTGCACTGTAGGCAGATGCCCCCCATGAAGAAAGGTAAGAGAACTGGGAAATATGGAGGGGTACTGAGCACACTAAAGTGATGAAATGTAGAATTTGAAGAAGGTGCCTCCTCCAGGTCTCTATGAACTTGAGCTTTCAATCCCTCTCTCCTCCTATCCAGGAGTCCGTTATCTACTGATGGGTCAGGTAGAAGAAAACAGAGGCCCCACCCTTCCTCCAGAGAGCTTCGTGGTCCTCTACAAACCCAACCAGGACCAGATCCTCAATAACCTGAGCAAGAGGAAGTGTCCCTCCCAACCTGTGAGAGCTGCCTGAGGCCCAGGCTAGATTCAGCTCCAGACTTTGGTGCTCTTTCTTATCCAAATAAATGTTTCTTAACTCAGAAAGGGGTCATATCTCTATTTCAATGGTTTAGGGGCCCATCCTTGGGAATTTCAGAACATTTTTTCTTTGTGGTGGTGCTGGGGATTGAACTAAGGACTTGTACATGCTAGCAAGTGTTCCACTACTGAGCTATATCTTCAGGCCCCAGAATACTCTT